GCAGCCTTATCTACAGAGCAGAGATTTTCTTGGCCATAGACTATCACAAAGCATCATGTCATTGAATTGGAGACAACCTTTTCTGGACAAATAACTGTCCTACACTCTAGTAGAGATACAAAAGTACTTTTCTTGTCAAGGAAAGAGAGTAATCTGCATGGGATGTCAGCCAATAGGAAAAACCCATACAGGTTTGTTGTCCTGGATATGCTTTTCCTGAGGTGGGGTAAGATGACAATGAAGATGACAGGGGCATTTGTGTCAGCCCCAATAGGTCCATACCCAAGTGGAGCAATGCTCAGTGAATGGACATGAAAGTAGGTAGCACCTTCTGGCTGTGTAGTGGTTCACACTGCTTTTTCCTCCTCACCTCCTAGTCTCCACCAACTTGCCAGTGATGGTCTGGATCTACGGAGGTGCCTTCCTTCTTGGAGGGAGTCAAGGAGCCAACTTCCTTGACAACTACCTCTATGATGGTGAGGAGATTGCTGTGCGGGGCAATGTGATTGTGGTGACCCTCAACTATCGTGTGGGGCCCCTTGGCTTCCTCAGCACTGGAGATGAAAACATGCCAGGTACTACAGCTGCTTCCTCTTAGGGGACCCTGCCCAACTCCCCACCTTTGGCTGTGCCCTGACTGAATGGTGGGTACCTTCTGTTGCTCAGGGAACTACGGGCTGAAGGACCAGCACATGGCTATTGCCTGGGTAAAGAGGAATATCAAGGCCTTTGGAGGCGACCCAGACAACATCACCATCTTTGGGGAGTCAGCTGGTGGTGCTAGTGTCTCCCTGCAGGTCTGTTGTCCTTGTTAGACCACACTATAGCTGCTTCTCATTTCCGCAAATGGGAAAAACAGCCCTCTTGGCACTCTGATGCTTTCCTCCACGCATGCCATATCCCCTTGCTTTCCTCTTCTCTCCTTGTCACCATATCACCTTTAAACTTCAATTACTGAGTCTTAAGTATCACAAGAGCTGGCTCCTTCCCTGGACATTGTGTACAAATTGTGAGGGGGAACGGCCAGCTCTGGCATGTAATTGTTTCTTCATGATTTCATGAATGAAACCTTCCTATTTCTATTTTGTACTGCAGATACTTTCCCCAAAGAATGCAGGTCTGTTCAAGAGAGCCATCAGCCAAAGTGGTGTCAGCTTGTGCAGCTGGGCCATCCAAAAGGACCCACTTCCTTGGGCTAAAAAGGTAACATGCACCTCTGCAGAGGGACCCCAGCCTACAGAGGGAGGCTGGTACATGGGACAGTAGGTGGCCTGCACACCTACCTGGGCTGGCTGGACCGTGGCTGTGTCACTCCAGGCAGCAATCCTGAAGCTGAAGTCTTACTTGAGGGTATGAGATTTCATAGAAGAGAGCATAGCAAGTATGGGATTTAGCAGGAGCCATGCTGCCAAACACAGAGCTTTGGAAACATGAATCTTTGAGATTAAAACCAAGCTCTCCTCTGGGAAGCTGGGAATGCGGCATGGCTTCAGAGAGTAATGCCATGAGCTTTGTCTCTCTCTCCTTCTGCAGATTGGAGAGCAAGTGGGCTGCCCCACAGATAACACCACAGTCTTGGCCAACTGCATCCGTGCCACTGACCCCAAATCCCTGACACTGGCCTTCCACATGGAACTCATCTCCCTGCCTGGTATGTCCCCCAGCCTATGCTGCATCTTCCATGCACAAAAGGTTCACTAAGCCTTCAAAGGGGTACTGGGGTGATTGCCAGAAGTATTTAAGCAGTGCTTGTGTCATTCAGTAAGGGGACAACAATGACAGATTTGGCAGTCACTCTTCCACAGACAGGTGCACACTGTGCTGAGTGAATGCTGTTGGTTGTGCAATGGCAATGGTGGCAGATCAATTGTCTAGGGGTTGTGCCTTGGCTCCAGAACAAGTAGCTTTCTGTTTTGCAATGTTTCATGAAAGCAGCAAGAGGAATTCTGGAATACAGCTTACAGACAACAACAAACTGACAACTTCCTTCTATTTTTTTCCTTAAGCAATATGATATGCCAGGCCACACATCTGCTTTTTCCATGCTCCTAACAGATTCTGGTTTTGCCTCCTTCTGCAGGTCCCCTGGTTCATACACTCTCCATCACTCCTGTTGTGGATGGAGACTTCCTCCCTGACATGCCAGAGAACCTCTTTGCCAATGCTGCTGACATTGACTACATTGCTGGGGTCAATAACATGGATGGACATTTCTTTGCTGGCATTGATTTACCTGCTATCAACCGTCCATTTCAGAAAATCACTCCGTAAGAGGACATTCCTAAAACCCTTATCAAGAGGAACTGTAACATATTCCCAAACACCAAAGACTGGAAGGGCACTATCTTCAGCACAGGATGTCACTCCAAGCTGGGGTGCCCAAGGCATGCGTTGCCAAGCCCAGAGCCTTCAAGAAAAAGATCTAGTTTAGTGGTGAGGCCTTCCCAAATATCTTTAAGGTTCCCCTGAACTCAGCAGTAGAGACAAGCTTGGCAGCCCTGATGCTCTCTGTGTGAAGTGTGTTCATGCAGAAAGGCTGGGTGCCTGGCCCATAAGACCCCTCTTTCAGGACTAAAAGAGCTTATGGCCTTTCTCAGCGGTTCTGCTGAGAAAGTTCTGGATTGCCTGCTCTCCATCTAAGACCTGGATTGAAACTCCTGGCTTTTACTTCACCAAACAGTTGCCAACCACAGAGGTTGGATGTGAACATCAAAGGGGGTTGGGACAAGTTCTACACTCCTCTTCGAGCTGCTGGTCCTTAATTAGTTCATACCTCTTGTCTTTTCAGGAGTGAGTTCTTTAACTTGGTCAAAGGATTTACTGCGGACAGGGGTGAGAGAGGAGCCAACCTGACGTACGATCTCTACACACAGTCGTGGGGTGACAACCCAGAGCAACAAGTCATGAAGAAAACAGTGGTGGACCTGACTACTGACTACATTTTTCTGATTCCCACGCAGTGGACACTTAACCTGCACCATCAGAATGCCCGGTGAGGAGCACAGCATTGGTAGGAGCTCAGAGTTGTTTGAGAACCAAAATGCTACTCTCAGCATGAAGGGCTCCACCAGTGTTTGGAGCATAGTTACAAATCCACACTCCTTTTCCTGCTCTCCACTCACAGTTGTTTATCAAGTCTATTTTATTTCCCCAGGAGTGGCAAGACATACAGCTATTTGTTCTCCCAGCCATCTCGAATGCCCATCTATCCAAGCTGGGTAGGGGCAGACCACGCTGATGACTTGCAGTACGTGTTTGGGAAACCCTTTGCCACCCCTCTAGGCTACCTGCCCAAGCACAGGAAAGTCTCATCTGCCATGATTGCTTATTGGACCAATTTTGCCAAGACTGGGTAAGTGATTTTGGTTTCACCTCTGCAGCTTGCTGCAGCACTTCAACCTGTTGCTTTTGTCTATTAACTTCTCAGAAGCAATTCTCAAAAGCAGGGTGCCTTCTGGACTTTTGCAAACCTGGCTCTATGTCTCCCAGTGGTAGAGTTTGCTCTGAGCCTTCCTCATCCAAAGAACACCTGGGAACAGCAGAAGCGTTTTCAGAACTTGTGATCTCTGCTTAAACTTTCTGATGACGTTGGGGCAGGAGTTCAGTTTGCTGTGTGCAGCGAGGGGCAGTGCTAGTGGGAACCAAAGGGGGAGAATGCAGGTTGGCAAATTGCTCCTAGCAGGCAGAATTGCTATCACCTGTCTAAATTTCAAACTCTCTCCTTGCACTCACTTAAAACCTCGCTTGAGCACAGATAAGATCTGCAGAGAACACAAATCTGCCATGATAAAAATAAATTTCTATTTCTTTTTTCCCAGTGACCCCAACAGTGGGAATTCAGAGGTGCCTGTTACCTGGCCAGCCTACACCACTGAGGGTGGTTACTACCTGGAAATCAACAATAACATAAACTATAATTCAGTGAAACAGAATCTGAGAACCCCATATGTGAACTACTGGAATTTGGTCTATCTAAATCTGCCACAGGTTGCCAGCACGTCCTAGACTGTGGAGCTGCTGAAAACCCAAGCAAAACCACCTTTTAAAGACAGACCAAGTTCATTAAAGGCTTGTTTGCAACTGAGGGATTTTGGCTTCTGAATGTCTTTGTCATAATGGTTTACTCCCTAATATTACAGTTAGCAGGAAGCAGCATCTAGTCTCTCAGCAAAACACGTTCTCCTGACAGCAGTGCTTCAGTTAATGATGCATAAATGCATCATTGGTTCAAGGTTTGTTTTTCCTTGTGCCTTGCATGATCCCTATCAGGACAAACCCAGTCCTGATCTGTACCTCTGGATATTGCCAGATTCTAATCATCCACACTAATAACAAACATCTAATAGATAATTACAGTTGTAATATATGCACACAAATCTCTTAGAGAACTGTTGCCCAGTTAACTAACTAACTAATAATAATAATAATAAATGTGAGGAGGTTATTCTGCACTGGTTTATGACCACAAGTCTCTGCTTCACAAAAACCAAGCTAAGCTGTGAGCTACAGCTCCAAACTGAGGAATTAAGGAGAGGATCAGGATTTGTCACCCAGGATTTGTGCCTGGAGCTATTCCCAACTTTACAACACAGTGGATGCTCACAACTTTGTCCCATATCAACATCCTCCCCATGCCCATGGCCAGCTGCATGCAGCACCGTGGCAGCTGTATCAAAGAGTGTTTACTCTTCATCTGTTTCCACTTAGTAATTTTCCAGCGTTCAGTGAGCACAATCTGATTTGTTCAGTGAGGAATGAAAGGAAATTTCAAAGACAGCTGTGGTCTTACAAATGTAATGCAAGCAGAGAACTAGGAGAAAAGGAAAGACATTGCAGGCACTCTACTTTTGGGTAAAAATTTCTGCTCAGGCATTAGACACCAAGAACAAACACTGAAAATATTCTTAAAAACGTGGAGAGAAACACTTAAAGCCACGTGACCAACGTGAAGCCCAAGGCCAGAGAAACTAGAACTCACCTGTGCAGAACTCACCAGAACTTCACCAGCTGCTTTCCGTTCTTTATCTGGGAAGATTCCGCTGCAGTGCGCGCTGTGCCCGCCAGGGGGCGCTATGAGAGCGGCCCATTGCCAGCGCCTGCCGGAGCCGCGTACGGGATGCTCCGGGGACAGCGTCGGCTATGGGATGAATAGGGTGCAGCGTTGGATACAGGATGCCCGAGAAGCAGCATCAGTCGTTGAGGAGACCAACCCTTCTGTTTTGCACCCCCAATCTCTGGGGAAGGCTGAACAACGAGAGAACAAAAGGAGGATAGAGATGGAGGTGCATAACCCCGTGGTGGTGTTGAGATAGGGAAGGGTGCTCTGTATCACACACTGGGAGACAGCAAGAGACAGCAAGGGACACCAGGGTTAGCAGGGAGCCAGGATGGGTGCCGAAACTACAGGGAAGGGGACGTGGGCACAACTGTGCCTACGCATCTGGACAACACTTTCAGGCACATGGTCTGATTTTTGGATGGCCCTGTGTAGAGCCAGGAGTTGGCCTCAATGATCTCGATGGATCCCTTCTAACTCAGGACATTCAGTGATTGTGTGAACTCACCATCTCTTGCTGTTGCTGCTGCTCCTGAGCTTTCCTCAAGCTGATTCCGAGATACTGAATTCAGCCCTGCTCTCCTGGATGGTGGGAGTGAGAAATAACTAATTTCTTGGAGACCAGATCTCTTGTGAAAATGTTTTAACTCATGATTGCAATGGTAGGCGTCCTGCAAGCAGGAGCTCACACTTCTTTAAGCACAGCGCGCCGTAGAAGCAAAGGGCGGCCCGGAACCTTCGTGCGGCGGAACCATTGCGCTGCGGCTGCGGGGAAGGGACGGGGAACGGACCGGGGAACGGATTGGGGGACGGACCGGGCAGCGATGGCGGCGGACGGGCAGCGCACGGAGCGAGGCTCGGGGGTGCTGGAGCTGCCCAGCGCGCCGCGCTTGGTGTGCGTGGAATATCCGGGGCTGGTGCGGGATGTCGGCGCGATGCTGCGGACTCTGGGAGGAGAGGAAGGGGTGTCGCGGGTGAGGGGCTGCCGGAGGCCGCATGTGAGGGAGGCGGGCTGCGGGTTACGCGGGGGATCGGGGCGGTCCGGCGCTGTGCTGGAGGCGGTGGGAAGGAAGGCCTTCCAGGCCCCGGGGTGATGTGAAGGTGTGGAGCTGACGGTGTGCCGTCTGTGACGCAGATCTACGCCGACCCCGGCAAAAGATTGGAGCTGTATTTCCGCCCCAAGGACCCCTACTGCCATCCCGTGTGTGCCAACCGCTTCCCTGCCTCCGCCATGCTGCTGAAGGTGAAGAGGAAGACCAGGAGGAAGCGGATGGGTGCGGAGGAGCAGGACGTGCAGTTTGAAATGGAAATTATGGGGATCGTCACGACGGTTTACAAATTTCAAGGTAATGCTTGTATTTTTGTCACAGAATCACAGAATGGCCTGGGTTGGAAGGGACCTCAAGGATCATGAAGTTCCAACCCCCTGCCACATGCAGGGCCACCAACCTCCTCATTTAATGCTAGACCAGGCTGCCCAGGGCCCCATTCAATCTGGCCTTGAACACTTCCAGGGACGGGGCATCCACAACCTCTCTGGGCAGCTGTTCCAGCACCTCACCACTCTCTCTGTAAAGAATTTCCCTCTGATGTCCAACCTAAATCTCCCCTCCCTCAACTTAAAACCATTTCCCCTTGTTCTGCAGTTATCTACCCTTTCAAAGAGTTGATTCCCCTCCCCTCTGTAGGCTCCCTTTAGGTATTGGAATGCTGCAATGAGGTCACCCCGCAGCCTTCTTTTCTCCAGGCTGAACAAGCCCAGCTCCCTCAGCCTGTCCTCACAGGGGAGGTGCTCCAGTCCCCTGATCATCTTTGTGGCCCTCCTCTGGACCCTCTCCAACAGCTCCCTGTCTTTTTTGTACTGGGAGCTCCACACTTGTATGCAGCATTCCAGATGGGACCTCACAAGAGCAGAGTAGAGGGGAACAATCACCTCCCTGTCCCTGCTGGCCACCCCTCTTTTGATGGAGCCCTCGAGGCTTAAAGGCTGATGGGAAAGAGAAAGGTTTCCTTTTAAGGCTGGAAGGGAAATCACACCTATTACAGCCTCCTTTCTGTATAAACCTTTGCATAGACCTGTCAGACTCCTGCTCCTGAAAGCTGAGCATTAGGAGAAGCATTATCTTCACAATACACTTCACAGCATTCTAACTCGTATAATTCTATGATTCTGTATGACTTGTTTCCCATAGGAATGTCAGATTTCCAGTACCTAGCGATGCATTCTGGTCCTGATGGCAAACAAACCTCCATGTATGACAAAGTCCTAATGCTCAAGCCAGAGAAGGAAGAATTTTTCAATAGGGAATTACCTCTGTACATCCCTCCACCAATTTTCTCACGACTGGACACTCCTGTTGACTATTTCTATCGGCCAGATGTCCAACACCGGTTAGTGCCCTTTCTCATTATAATAAATAGTCCATGTTGCTTCTTGAATGGAAAGACAGCAACACATTTTTCTGGTTTGATATATACTTCTAACAGGCAAACCTTCAAGTTAAGGTTTCCTTTTTCATCATATGAAGATGAATCGAATCCATTCTCACATCAGTGCTGTTAGAGGATTTATGCTCTTATAGCATCAGGCCAGCATTAAATACATGGCTCATGCATTTCATTAGTTTTTGCTACTGAGTGCTCAGTAGAAGTGATACTTTTTCCTGCAGGAATCAACATGTAGCATGGGATGCACAAGTGTGTCTTTCTGCCTGCTTCCCATGGGCTGGAGCTGTGTGGAGGCCATGAGGAGTCAATGCCATATGTTCCTCTGACCACATCCGCTGGATCTGTTCCCTTCAGGCCTCTGGTCATTTGTGCCAGAAGAACATTCTGTGAGATCTCCCACAAGAAACAGCTTTTGTTTTTCTCACTACAATCCTTTATCAGCATGTAGGGCAAAAAAAGATCTTAACAATTGCATTTCCATGTTATGTTGTTCCTGTACCCTGCTGAACTCCAAGAGTTACAGTGGAGCAAGGAGAGAATGTGCAGCCTGTTGTGCAACAAATCCACGTCATACAAATAAGTGATAAACTGCCTGTGGGATTTCTCTCAGGTAGCACAGGGGATCTCTTTCATCAGAGGTAGTTTGGCCATTTTTATGGTGTTTTTTTAAATTGAATTTCCCTTCCTCGGTAGTTTTGCAAAAGTCTGTCGTGGTTACAAGTACATGATTCCAAAATCCACAAGGAGCTGCAGCCAAAGTAAAACCCATTGCTCATACAGCTTGATCCTTGCTCCTCAGTCATCTGGAAAACAAACTTCATTTTTGCATGTTCCCATGAAATCCACATGCCTGTGTGTGCCATAGGCAGACAGCAAACCCAATCCTCTGCCCTGTCTTGTAGGGATGGCTACAACAATCCCCAGGTGTCAGCTGAGAACCTCATTGGCCTCAGCAGGGCCCGGCGCCCCAACAATGCCATCTTTGTGAACTTTGATGATGAAGTGCCAACCAAACCACTGGATGCTGCTGCACAGGCCTGGAAGAAAGTGTGCACCAATCCTGTGGATAGGAAGGTGGAGGAAGAGCTGAGAAAAGTACGTGCCATGTTCCTGAGGTGTGCTGGGCACTCAGCCCTGGTGTGCTGTGTAGGAAAGGACTGCATTCAGCCCTTTTCTTTGACTTCCCAGAAGATGGCTGCAATCCTAAGTACTTGCTGGCTCCTCTGTAGATTTTGTGATTGTGACGTTCTGTGTATAAGATAATTAGGATGGTGTGGTCTGTTGAATTACACCAGGATTCCAAATCCAGGCCATTGGGTTTGATTCTTGTTCACTATCAGCTGCCATTTGAAATCTTGGCAAAGAACACGTTTGCTTTTTTTGTTCTCTGATCCTTCAAATGAGAGGGGCTATACTTCTCAGGATACTAGAATGTTTGGTGTCCAGAACAGCTGCACTTCTTGTAAATAATGGGTGGGATAAAAATTTGTCAAGGCATGACACCATCAAGCCAAGCAATTGAATGTGGGGCATGTATCTGAAGTTATGTATTATTTTAGCTCTTTGAGGTTCGTCCAGTCTGGTCTCGAAATGCAGTTAAAGCAAATATCAGCGTCCATCCAGACAAGTTGAAACTTCTGTTGCCTTGTTTGGCCTACTACATGGTAAGTCTGTGTATCTGCCCTTGTTCCTGTCTGAGTTAGCAGAAAGCATGGGTGGATCACCTGGGTGTTCCTTGCTCTCTGCAGTTTCTGAGGTCCTAGCTGAGCTTAATGTAAGAGGAAGAGGGAAAGTAAATCTTCCTCTTGAACAGAAGTTATAACCATGGAGGATTCAGCAGCTGTTAGCTCTGTTGGATCTGGTCTACTTTGTTGTACAGTCAGGCATTCAAACTGATTGTCCATTGATTGTCCATCTGGCAACGATAGCAGATTTCTTTCCAAACTGATTCTTGTAACCTTGCAGATTATTTTTAAAGGCACACAAATATTTGGGCTTCAGTATGTTGCCCAGTTTTGGTATGTAAATACTGGCTGTAGAACGTGATGAAGGAACTGGTAAGGAAATAGATTTGGACAGTGCAGGAAAACATTAGAATTTTCTAAGAAACTGCAATACAACTATATTTGCAACTTGTCCCCCCTATTTGTTTACACAGATAACAGGTCCTTGGAGGAGCTTATGGGTTAGGTTTGGGTATGACCCTAGAAAACACCCTGAAGCAAAGATTTATCAAGTACTGGACTTCCGAATTCGCTGTGGAATGAAATATGGTAAAAGGGTCTGACCCACAGAAACCACCTCTGCTGTATGGTTAATCCTTGTAGTTCTTTTATTTTTGTTTGTTTTCAAACTCTTTTGCTCTGATGGAGAGTGCATCTTTTGAGTTCATTCCTTCCTGTAGTTCTTCCACGAACTCCTTTAAACTTTATTTTATACTAAGCAGTATTTCTTCCCTCATTTGGCATATTTCAAACCTTACAAACAGCTGTCTGACTTTGGTTTTCCATGCATTCAGAGCCCAAGTGTGTGTCAGCAGACCGTCTTGCTCAGGGGAAGCACTAAACAGTAAATTCTGTTGCTTGCACATGCAGGACACCAGGACTCAGGCCGTGGTACATGGGTTTCCTTTGCTGTGATTTTGTACAGAGCAAGTTGAGGGAAAGGACTTTCTGAGGTCATATAATAAGTGCTTGAGAGAGCTGACATCTCGTTATTATGATCAGATCACATCTTCCCCTCTTTTCAACCAAAAAGGTTTTATCTGATACTTCTCTCTATCTTGCAAAAGTCAGCATATCCCAAAAATCAGCCGTTTCACACAGTAGTCCAGCACTTCTGTTACTGAGCTGGGCATGTCCTGTGGGATGCTTATCCTCAGTTCACGATTGGTTTTCTTTTCTCACCTCTAGGTTACACCCCTAATGATATGCCAGTGAAAGCAAAACGCAGCACATATAACTACAGCCTGCCCATCACTGTCAAAAAGCCAGGTATGTCGTGCCAGCTGAAGGGCTGTCTGACTCTTCTGCTTCTTTGTTTTACTCCATCTTACTCTCAGGTAGTGAGAAGTCTCCCTGTGCTCCAGCTGAGCCAAAATTAGAACTCACACATTTCCTACGACTGATTTACTGTCTGGTAACATCTCTGAAGAATCAGCCATGCACGTTCAATTGCTGGGTTGATCTGCTTTTTGCTGAGCAGCCACACTGAATCAACACTGGGAGGCAACAGTACAGTGCTACAGTGAAATTGTTCCTAATCAGGTCTCTGTTGTCTTTCAGTAAGTCATACAGTCAGTGTACATGATCTGAAGCAGGGACTTGGTACTCCTGGTGCATCTGGTGCAAAAAAGCCTGCCTCCAGCAGGTATAAACTGAAGGTAAGCATTACTCTTTTACCAGAATATTGAAATACCACTGTAAAAAGGAACTGTTTTCTGTTTTGGAATTCATTAAGGGTGCAGGTTTCTCTTCGAGACATGAATGAGATGAAGGTCACAAAGTTTACCTGGAGAGCTGCTAGTTGAATATGTCACTACAGAACTTCACCTGCTGTTCTGTCAATGTATTTCTTACATGGGATTGGTACTTTTGCTCCAGCCTTAAATGCAATGAGCACTTTGTTTCAGTTGAGAAAACTGGAGAACTTAAAGGGCAATGAAGTGCAAAACATTGCCATGTGTTTATCAGGTCATACTGCAGAAACAAGCAGGGTAAAATTAATATTTAAATAGGAACCTGTTTGGTTTTTTTCTTCCTTTTTGCTAGAACAAAACTGCTGATATGCAGTAACAAGCTACTAATGAAGCTGTAGCTTGGATACCAAGTATTTCGTGACTAGGGACAGATCTGTGCAGGAAGTGCCTTGTTGTTTACTCAGTACTCTGCTATTATAGCAGAGTTGCCCTGTTACACCTCAGAATGCACATTAAATCCTTTCCATCTTTCCTCTTAGGAATCAGTCTATGTTTTCCGAGAAGGAGCCTTACCCCCTTATCGCCAGATGTTCTATCAACTCTGTGACTTGAACGTGGAAAGGTACTACACACTGCCAGCTGAATCCTCTGTTAGAACTAGATTTCAAAGCCTGTTTATATCCACTTCATTACTTTCACTCTCCTTGAACAGAAATTTAAGAGGTATTTGGCTTCTGAATAAAAACAGGACAGGCTTCTCACCTAAACTTCCTTTCCCATATGATAGGTGAATAACCAAATATGCTTTCCAACTCAAGGAAAGCAAAGTAAGCCACAGTCTGTCTTATTTGAAGCCTGCAACTGAGTGTAGAAGGCTAACATTTCACCTTTTTTTTGGTTGCTTTTTAGCCTACAAAAAATCATCCATCGGAATGATGGTACAGAGTCAGAATGCACGGAGCGGGATGGATGGTGCCTTCCAAAGACTAGTGATGATCTGCGAGATAGCATGTCCCTGATGATAAAGCAGATAATCAGATCCACAAGACCTGGTATGGATGCTTTTGAACCTCAAAATGCCAGGCAGCGTATTACCACTTATTTGATGACAGAGACTGCATTAGGATCCTGTCAGTGCTGGGGAAGTAGCACTGTATTCACCACCTCTGGTGTTCCATGCTCTCATGCATTACAGTGTGAGAGCTGAGGCTGTTGTCCTGCCATATGACATGGGTTGGAGACTAGGAATAGCTAAGAGTAGAGGTTTTCTTTTTCACTATTCCAGTATCATAGGTTTCAGATTTGTAACACTATGTGATAAAAAGTACAACAATAATAGGATGGTAGAGTCTTTAGCTACAGTAAACGAGGACAAGCCCAAACACAGCAGCTATGGATACAGAAACAAAAGAAAAAAAGCTGCTTACCTTTGGAAGACCTCAGGTATGCAGGATCTCCAGCAAGATACCATTGCCTCCATTGCCAGTGCTTAAGTGAGGTCTGGGCAGGGGTGGATCCTGGCTCCGGCCCTTCTGGTCACTCAGTGCATTGCATACACCTGAGCTGCCCTGGGTTGGCCATGCCTTCCCACCAGGTGCTCAGTCACTGCTTTAAGCCCTGACTTAGCATTTCCACCACACATGTGCAACCTTTTCTGTGATCCTCGGGCTTCTGCCTTACTCTCATTGTTTTATGTATGAACTTTACTGCAAATTTCTTCAGGTTGCACTAAGAGATATGTCATCATGTCCTCCTTTCTTTCTTCCTAATTAAGCTCTTTTCTCAAGTACAACAAGCAGTGAAGATGGCAAAGAACAGCTGGCATATGAGTCTGGAGAGGATGAGGATGATGAAGAGGAGGAGGAAGAAGACTTCAAGCCTTCTGATGGGAGTGAAAATGAAATGGAGACAGAAATCCTAGACTATGTGTGAACTCAGTGAGTAGCTGCTGGACAGAATTTTCTTGGCTCTTGTTCCTTCAGTGCTGATGTTTAAGTAACCATACACAGGGTGTGTGAGAGCAGAACTTGCACTAAGTTGCTCACTACCTGTCTGCACTGACTGTGGTGCCTGCTGATGGCTGTCATTCTGGATGTTCAGGCACCATGGCCCACACAGTGTCTGGGTGAGGTGCTCTGAGATATGGTTTAGTAGCTGTGGTAGTAATGGTGATGGGAGGACAGTTGGACTACATGATTCTTTTCAACCTTGTGATTCTATTATTCTATTTTTATAATTGTTGGATAGTAAGCCTTCAGAACATTGCCACCATGGAAATAACAGGTTTCTTGCCAGGCTCCAACTGGTATCTACTGTAGCAGCTCAACAGTTTCTCAAGAAAAGAGAATTGAAACCAGCTGGCAATACACCTTAAAATAGGAGAAACTGTGTTCCCAAATCTCTGTAAGAAATACACCTTGTCTGGGTTGATGGCCATGTGGAAAATTAAAAAAATGGTTTGAAGAAGTTACCATTCAGTTATAGAAATAAAAGAACTGCTGGCATGTTCTAAGTCTTGTGCATTCCCCAGTGTGTTACAAGTGGAAGGTTCATCATTAGTAGCTGATAACTGTTCTAATGCTGTTCTAATGCTCCAATTCCAGGGAAGGTATTATCAGGCACCAAGAATAAGCACTCTTAGAAATGTGAGGAAAACACCTAAAACCAAACTTGTTATCAACAGTTAGCCTAAGGCCAAAGAAACCTTATGTCAGGGTTTACTTATTTCCCAGCTATTTTTGAAATTCTTCTCTCTGGGAAGACTGCAGTTACTTGGATACTTAATTCTGACTTAGCAGGAAATGGCACTAACAGCCCCATCTGTATAAGATAACCCTTTCATCTTCAAAACACTCAGCTTTAAAGTAATCTATGTAGAAACACAGAGAAATTCTGGTTATTGGAGCTTCACCCTTAATAGCTACAGCCAGAGGCACCACACCATCCAGGCAGTTTCCACTGAAGTCTGTGCAATTATAAAAAATAAACATGCTGGCTGTGCTAGGAAATGAGCCCTTGAACAGTGAAGGAATGATGGCTCAAGCCAAAGCAGATTGCTATCTCCTTAATGTAAGGACTGATCACTGCATTTGCTCTTATGGCCATTGCAAATATAAAAAGAAATAAACCAGTAAATCAGATGTCACATTTATGCTACCAGAAAAGGCATCAGTCTCAACAACACAGATTCACATGAACAGAGTTGCTTGAAATCAGGCACTGGTCCTGCAAACAAAAAAGCCTTGTTTCTTCATTCAAGCACAAAACAAAGCTCAGCACGGTTACCATACAGTAACAGGCTCAAGCACCACCTCCACAATCAGATCCATTCCCCTTTCTCTAGGAGCAGGCCAGCAATTCAGGAAGGAAGACAGAACAGCCCCTGCTTTAGGGCAGGGATGTTTGAGGATTGACATTTTATTGCAAAGACTAATTACATTGCTGTATACAAGTCACACTGGGCAGTGTGCTCCTTCACTGAAGTGGTACAAAATACATATGGTACAGCCAGTCCCTCCGGTGATGCTGGGCTTCCAGGGGACACCAACAGCAGGGGAGGGGGGCAGTGGGGTGGGCAGGAGCTGGCAGGCACAGAGCAGCATGGAGCCAGGGGGAGGCCCAGGAGTGCTGGCACCCAAAGGCAGGGGCCTGGCTCTGGGCAGGGTGGGAGGCAGGAGGCAGCCCCTGCGTCAGGGTGCCAAGGGCTCCCATCATGTGCAGTGTGGGCATAGTGACCCAGGTGATGCCACCCAAGGGGACAGAGGGCTGGCAGAACTAATGCCAGCCATGCTCATAAACAAGGAGCCTCACTCCATCTGGTTCTGCCACCAGCCCTGCTCCTCTGAGTGGCACTGTGCAGTGTTGCTACATCCCAGCCTCTCTCCTGGAGGCAGGGAACACGTTTCCCCCCCTTAACCAGCAGCACAGACAGACAGGAAACAAAAGATGTGCTGGGAGGAAGTGCTCAAATGCAATGGAGCCAGCAGGTCCAGGGGCAAAAAGAAAAAAAAACTCCCCCCTTTGGTTAGTGTTTCCTACAGTCATTAAAACAAGCGTCTCTGCCCCTGCTTGAGTGACTAGTGGTAAAGAAACGAGGAAGGGAGGAGGCCAGAGGGGTTGGTGCTGTGTGAGCAGGGCAGAGCAACACTGCTGCTGTGAGTATCTCTCCCAGCAGCCTTAAATAGCAGGAGGGGAACAGGAGAGGGACTGGGCTGCACGGCGGGGGACTCTGGGTTAGTAAAATGTACAAGTTCATCTCTTCTATTTACAACCAATAAATATTGCAAAAAAAAAAAAAAATCAGTAAACCTTTTTTTGTTGTTGTTTTGTACAAAAGAAGTCTCATCACTGCTTCTCCCATAGTCAGTGTTTGAAAAAGTCAGGTTAAAGCCCAAGGTGAGTGGCACTTTCTGTGGGTCAGGCGGTGGCAGCCGGAGCATCCCCAGCTCTCTGACTCCTTGCCTGCCCATGCAGACACAAGGTCTCTATTTACACAAATTTGGACAGCAGTCTGCTCTCCTCCTCCTCCTCCTGGCTCGGCTGGCAGCTATGGGGGCACGGGGGTGCACGCAAAGCTTTCCTGCCTGCAGAAGGGACACTGGCATTTGATCTTTGGTGCAGGTTTGAACGCGGGCCGGCAGCTGGATTGGGGAGAGGAGCAAGACCACGTGGAGGCTTCCAGTCATCAACAGCAGCCCTTGGTCCATGAGGCACCGGCGTGGGGCTGCATCCTTTCCAGCACAGCTTCTCCCAGGTCACGGACAGGCGGTGGTGGCAATGCCAGGTGATCCAGGGAAGGACGTGGGGGTAAACCAGTGCCGAAGAAGGGGAGCATCCATCCCAGCTCACGTGGCAGTGGCTCATGTGCTGCTCCTCACAAAGGGCCCCTCCAAGCCGCCGCTCCCCGGCTCGCGCGGACACAAGGCACCTACGGCAGAGAGGTGGGCTCCTGCTCTGGGCAGGCCGGTGACTGGACGAGTGTCGCACCGTGGAAGGTTTAAAAAGAAAAAGAAAAGAGAGAGATTCCTCCCTGCTGCCTTCCTGTGTAGAAAAACATAAGACCTGATTGAAACGGGAGCTTGTGCAGAGAGAGGCGGAAGGGCTGCCAGGCGCCGAAGCGGCTCTCGGTGTGTGCGAACATCACTCCTGGCTCTGCCAGCAGCACCAGGCCTGCCTACAGCCTGCCCCCAAGGCCCCGTCGGTGAGGGGTGGCAGTGGGGCTAAGGCTAGAAGATGCCTTTGGCGATCTTCAGGCCTTTCTGCTTCATCCTGGGCAGGGTGGAGCTGGAGCCGTGTTTGATCTTCACCCCCTTGGAGAAACCCCGCTTCTTGAGCACGAAGTCGTAGTTGGCAGCGGAGTTCATAGCATAGAAGACATTGGCGTTGTCGGGGATCTTCAGCTCTGGGAGGGACCAAGGATGGAGTCAGCTGGGCAGTTTGTTCCCACCCAGAGCCCAGGCCAGGAAGAGAATCCCACCCCCATTCTCACCTCTCTCCTCTGAGATGATCTGAACGAGCTCGTAGTCTTCAGGCCGGTCCCCATCCAAGTTGTGTTTGGCCATGGCCTTACGAATAACAACCGGTGTCTTATCCTGGCTCGTCACCTATGAGCACACAGCATTGTTAACCACCAAAATGATGCAACATCTCCCACCTCCATATCCTCCCAGTGTGAGACATGCTCGCATCCAAGCATGACGAGCCTCCAAACCCCAAAATTGACCCGGGTGCTGGGTGCTAACCAGGATGCTCTTGTACATGTTGCCGTTGTCCACAGCCAGGCTGACACGGATGATACAGCAGTCATCGACCTGCTGGTTGTAAAGGGGCAGCGAGAGGGACGAGTAGCTGGAGATGCCGGAGACGGAGCGCTTGTGAGTGCGGGATGCTGTCACCGGTGTGGAGGAGACGGAGGAGGATGAGGCACTGCTGGAGCCTGAGCCAATGCCCGACGTGTCCAGGGAGGAGAGAGAGGTGGATTCCCAGAACTGGAGGGCAGGGAGGAGAGGGGATGCGGAGGACACAGTGGGTTTAGCTTCTCCATCAGCCACAGACGGGGTGTACGAGTGCTGGGGGAGGGAGGCCAGAGGGATCTCACTGCCCTGTGCCAGCAGGGGACGTACAGCCGCCAGAGCTGCCAGACCCTGCTGTGCCAAGGCAAGCCCAGCTCCACCACAAAGAGACCTCCCTTGCTCCCCAGAAGCAGAAGCAGTCCCAGCTCCCCAGCCCCAATGTGAGGCAGGGGCCCCACAAGCTGCCTCATACCTTCTTCTCCTGGCAGTCTGGGGACTCAGGGATGAAGCTGATGTTGATCTCCTCCACATCGGAGCTGCTGGAGCCGGCGGAGGTGACGCTGACTGAGTCAGTGGCATCCCCACTGCACAGGTACTGCCCGCACTTGAGCTGGTCGAAGGACTTGGAGTGGGAACTGCCGCTGGCACAGGGCTCAGTGCTGGCTGGCTGCCGGCTGCAGGGAGATAGCGGAGGGTGAGGAGAGAGCAGGTCCAGGGAAGGACACGACGGTGCTGACCCTTGTCTCCAACCCACATCCCACTGGGACAAACAGACTCACTCGCTCCATCGCTTGATGATTCCTGTGTTCTTCTTCGCCTTCAGCGTGTTGCTGGCTGACTCAGACAGTGGCTCAATCTCGCATGACAGCCCATAGCTGGGGGAGAGACAAAGGTTTCAGCACTCTCTGCAACTTCCCAATGCACGAGCAGCAGCACAGCCCTGCTTGCATTCACCTCTCAGCCTCACTGAGCCGCTCCAGGCTATGGAACCAGTCCACAAAATGGTCCTCCTGAGTGAAGCTGTAGTTGTTGCAGGCTGACTGAAGCAGCTTGATCTGGGCGATGACTTCAAACTCCTGCAGCCAATGGAGGCAGTCAGACCCCTTCTGTCTGCAGCCCCACAGCCCTCTGCAAACAGCCCAGCCCCATGCACCAAGACTCCTAGGAAGGACCAAAATCTTCCCCCAAAGAGAGTGGCAGAGCCTGGGCTTGCACAATACCAGCCTCGTCCCTCCACCCAGCTGTGCAAACTCTTACCTTCCTTCTCTTCTCAAAGTTGATCAGCCCTCCCTGCAAAAGAAAGAGCCGGGCGTCAGTGGGAAGCGGGGACAGAGAAGGACAGAGAGGGACAGAGAGGAACAGAGAGGGATAAAGAGGGGCATCGCTCCGCTCCGCGCCGGCAGCCCGGCTGCTGCCGCTGCAGTGCGTGCCGTGTCCGCCAGGGGGCGCTGCGAGAGCGGCCCATTGCCAGAGCCCGCCGAAGCTGCGCACGGGACGCACGTGGACAACGGGACAACGTTGGCTATGGGATGCATAGGTGCAGCGTTGGCTACGGGATGCCCAAAGGGACAGCAACAGGTGCTCTGAGGATCAACCCTCCACTTTGAAATGCCAGGCTCTGGGGATGTCTGGGCATGAGGGAAAAGAGGAGGACAGAGATAGAGGTACATACGTCCAGGAAATCCTTCATAGCAGTGTCAAGCATCACCAGGTCCGTGAGGAAGGTGCCGAGATAAGGAATGGTGCCCTGCATCACACCCTGGGGGACAGTGAGGGATGGCTGAGGTCAGCAGAGAGCTGGCAGCCACCCAGCAGGGACATGGGGACATGGGAACAGCCACTCACCATCTCTCGCTGCTGCTGTTGCCGCTTCTGGGCCCTCTTTGGGTTGATTTCCAAGGTGGCAAATTTGGACGTGCCCTCCTGGATGGTGGGGAAAGACAGCATCAGCATGAGTGGGAAACACGAGCTAAAATTCACAGCCACTTTTACTGCCACAATTTCCTCATAAAGGGAATGAAAGGAAGAGAAGGAAATCTAAGCTGAGCTTTTTCAGGGCTAAACAGGGAGGAGAGGCTTAATGAATAGGAAACGCTGCTCCCATTTCCAGCTCTCTGTACAAACAGCTTTTCAATGGGCTGTTTTGTTCCTTTTTGTATTTCATGTGATCTCAGCCCCCAGTCTGGAGCTGGAAAGCTGTGAGGACACCTGGCTTCAGCCTTTCCCGAACCCCACTGCCCCACCTTAACCCAGGAGGCTTCTGGAGAGCTGTACTTTGCACCAGGCTGTTCACGTGCATCTGGGGAAAGGCCATCATCAGGTGCACCAGAACACATCCCATTGCTTGTCTCTACCCATTCAATTGCTCTGAGACCTTCATGCAATGACAGCTTTTGGGGTGGGGAAGCAGAATGCCCTATCTGTCTGGCAGCTGGAACAACGGGGACCTTTCTGCCAGCACCAGCCCAAGCTCCTTGTCAGGACTATAGGTGCCCCATACCTTAATAAGCAGCTCTCGGCTCAAGGAGTGGTTGTTCTCATCGGAGAAGATCTCTGAGAGCTCATGGAAAGTGCGGAAGCTCTCCCTGCTCAGGGGAAACACAGGGAAGTCAGCAATGGTGCCACACTGGGTCTCTTCCTTGCGCACCCAAATGACCCCAGCAAAGCTCACAGCTGCAGCAGGCCTTGCTGACTGGGGTTATTCCAGGGTGTTCAGATAGAAAGGAGAAGCAGACAGTACTGCCTTTGTTTCCTCACTCTCCTCAGATCCCTTGGCTTTGGGCAATGCCAGAGCCGCAATGATCCCATTTACACATCTCCCATCTACACACTGAAGGGCCACAGCTCCAGCACAGCCACCCCCCAAAGACCTCCCAGCAGCCCCAGGACCCCCAGGTGCTGCTCACCGCAGGACCTCATCCCAGGTCTTCTTCAGCCGGTGCACAGCATTGCACTGCAGAGCTGAAAGGATGGCTCTGAGCGAGGAGAAGTTCTTCAGGATGCGGCATTCCTGGGGGCAGATAAGGGGACAGCATGGCTCGATGTTAAACAAAGCCAAGGGATTTGTGCACCACAAAACCCCAGCCCCGGGGGCAAGGCGAGTGGGGCTGCACTGCCCTACCCGAGCCACTTCGATCCACCGCTCCACCACTTTAGCCCTCTGCTGTGGCTTCAGGGTCCGGTCCCCAAGACACGTGGCGATGACACAGTTGGCCACGCTATTGAACTGCGAGACCGTGGCACGGATGGTGGGTGCCAGGTGTTCTTTGCCTTTCTTGTCTCGCTGGGACCAGATGCAGCCCAAGCAGTGGTAAGGCACCACTTTCTTAAACAGCTCCTAGAAGATAAAGAGATGGGATGGGTCTCTTTGGGAAAAGATGGAGCGGGGTATGAGGGAACGGAGTGGTTTTTGCCCAGAGCAGCAGCACTGACCCAATGCTGAATGAGTACTCACAGCATCCATTAGTGTGAATTGTTCTGCCACCATCTCAGGGGAGAAGGAGAGGAAATCTGACTTCCCATCCCCAACCCCATTCTCCTCCACCAGCTGGAACGTGCAGCCACCATGATCCACAGCTGTGAAAATGGCACAAAGCTGAGCACTGCAGTGCAGCCACAAGCACAGAACCCCGCTGCATCCCACACCACATCCCATCTCCATTGCTGTGCTTTCACACCTCAAGATAAGGCTCAGATAAATTAACAGGCGTATTTAACCTGGTTGCAAGTGTCTGCAGAGGATTAAAGGCAGATTAACTAATCCGCTTAGAAATCCCACTTCTAATTCAGCTGGATAAGCTTCCCAGTGTACCTCCATATCCAGCCACGTGGTGACACCTGAAGCTCCCTACAGACCCTGACATCCCCATGAGCAGGGAACCATCCCCACCTTCTGCTTCGGCCTCGCTCTGTTCCTGCTGCTGGAACTGGGACAGCAGGATGCGGGCTCGGCGTTCCAGATCCGAACCAGGGATGTTGTGACGCACGTAGGAGATGAGCTGCTTGAGGCAGGCAAAGTCCGGGGGTTTGCGAAAGTCTTCTGAATATTGGTCCAGCCAAGCACCCAGGATGGAGGAGATGGTGCTGTGGGAAAGGGAACAAAGGGGAGAACTGGGTGGTGTCATGAGAAACACATGGGACAGCACATGCCTTCATGTGAGAACTGGAGAGCAATCACCCCCAGCATGGTCAGACTTACTTCTTCAGCTCCATCCTCTCATCCACAACGTGCCTGGCGTGGTCCCCGTTTGTCTGCACGTGCAGTTTGCCATACCTGAGGGGGTTGGAAGAAGCCCATCAGACCTCCAAGACATGGCATAAGATGCTGGAGCTGTCCTGGCTGAGGATGCTCAGACATCAGCCACTTCTATCTGTGTTTTGGGGCACGGCCACCTCACCTGTTGAGCAGCAGATCCAGCACTTGCTTGGTGGTGGCAAAGGCTCGGTAAGTGCACAGGAAGATGGTGACATAGGTGGAATCATTGCCCTTGAAGGCTGAAACCAGGTACTCCACCAGCTTCTCCAAGGTCCCAGCTTTTATCGTCCGCACCTTACACGTCTCATAGAGGTTTAAGGCCGACTCATTCTCAAACTGCTGGGACAGGAGCAGAAGTCAGCAGGCTGGATGAAGATGGATACATGGAACTTCCTGCAGTGATGGGACCTCATGTGATGGGGCTGGGGAGAGGGAAGGTTGTCTTGGGCACCAAGTGGCCAGCGAACCAACTGAGAAGACTTGAGCATCTGGCAAGTCCAGAAAAGGCCTTAGGGTGGTCCAGATAAATACATGATTTTCAGACTATGCTTGGAAGGAGCTCCCAGGACATGAGCACATGGGGACACACAAAGAGGGCAGGATGTAGGCCAGTAAAGACTCTGCTGAGTCCTGACATCAGCTCACCCTGTTGGGCAGAAAAACCCCGCTTACCCCCAGCCACCGCTGCCCCTTGTTGGCTGTGTGATGGAGCTGCACTTTGCGCAGTGATATGCTGTAGATTACACCATCCTCCAGCTCTTCTCCAATCTCCTGTGTGGAGCTCTGCATGGGACAACAAGATACATCATGAGATAAGGAGGGTAACACATGGCACAGATGCTCTCCCAAACCTGGATGGGGTATCCTGAAGGCAATTTGTTCATCCATTCAGAAGCACAGAGCAGGCAGAACCAGCCTCCTGGGGCAGCTGAACCCAGTACCCACCTACACCCAAGCAGAGCCAAGACTCTGCACGCCCACACCCCAGTTATCCTCCTCCCTGCACCTTTATGGGACATAAGGTGACATTGCTGCCTGCTCTGACCATAATCTGAGTAATCTGCCCCAGCTTCAGCTGAGCATCTCAAGCACTCAAAGCCTCATAATAAATAACAACTGGGGAATGAAGCTGCCCATGAGCTTTGGGCAGTATTGGCTAAGCATGCTGGGCAGAAAGTCAAGGGGGAAGCTTGAATCATAGAGTAGAGTAGAATGGGTTGGAAGGGCCCTAAAAGATCATCTAGTTCCAACCCCCATGGCTCAGGCAGGGTTGCCAACCACTAAATCAGGCACCACATCAGGCTGCTGAGGTCCCCATCCAACCTGGCCTTGAACATCTCCAGGGATGGGGTGTCCTCAAATTCTCTGGGCAGCCTGAACTGGGGGAAAAACTTCAGGGAGCAGCAGCGGGGTGCCCTTGGGGACAAATGAACAGGTGGTTTTACCCAGGGCCATTGCCAAACCCAGCCACGAGGCTTATGTTTCTGTTCTGGGGATGCAAAAACCACCTCAGATTCAGTTTGGCCCTCTCCCACCACACTCTGCTGAGTCAGCAGCTCTTCTAAGAGGATTTCTGCAGATCCCTCTGCACACTGCAGGGATTTTCCCCTCCCCCCAGCACCCACAGCATTTGGGACATAGCATGTGGTTAAAAACCCACTGCCCAGCAGATGGGAAGAACTCCTGGAAGCAGTAAGGGGGTTAGCAGGGGAAGGCAGCCACGCACTGGGTGCAGCATGCTGCCAACCCACAGCCAATGCCAGCCTGCAGCTTTCCCTGCACTCTGCAGAGCATGAAAAACCCCTGATAAATGGCAACTGCTCAGAGCTTGCTGAGGATTAAAGCTGCCAGTGGGTGCCCCATCCCACACTGCTCCCAATGGCTGCCCCAGTGCTTCACAGAATCACAGTGCAAGGAAAAGATGGTGAAGATCATCCAGTCCAACCATCACCACCATGCCCACTAAGACACATCCCTCCCATGTCCTTCCCATGAAGCCACACCATGGCTGAAGCTGAGCACAGTGATTCAGCATGCACCCCAGGAACACCCCAGCTCCTTGCAAAACATCCTCCTCCCAGTCCTCTGCCCACGGATGTGAGGACCGTGGGTCCAGGAGGTGCTGCACACATCAGGAGATGCTGAGCAGAAAGCTCCAAACAAAACCTGAGCAGAGGTTTGGCCAGGCCATTGGAAAGCCTGGACACAAAGAATCTAGAAAAAACAGATGCTCGTCAGAGGTGCAGTTAAATTAGTTAAGAAATCAAATCATGTGAGAGGACAAAATGTCCCAAGATCAATGCATGAATCATTGGCAGCTGCTGTGCAACTACAGTGGAAAATATTGCCACAACTGCGAGGGCTTCCACTCTTGTATTTCACATCACGTGCAGAAAGCGCACCCAATTTTGATGTGCGTAGAGGCAAATTTCATTTCCTTCCTACATCCAAGACTGTCAGATTCATTCATTTTTTGTTTGCTGACTCGTGTGATATCCCCCAAAGTTCCCCTTTTGCAAACCACACGCACAGCACGCGGCTCCCAGCGGTCTCCAGTTTGGCTCACGCCAAGAGCCGGGCGAGCTGCTACACTGCTACATTCTAAAATTTGGTTATTTATATTCTGCGTGAGCTTCCTCTTTCCTACCACTCTTTCTCCAAGATGCTGATTGTGCATTCTGCACGTGTTCGTTAAAAACCAACGAAGCAAAAAGCAGCAGCAGGGCCCAGGCTGTGCAGCACACCTCAGCATCCACACCGAGTGTGCATCTCTGCTTTGTTGGACATGGCCTCTGGGCACCAAAGCAAACCCTCCTTCATCAGCAGCTCCACCTATAGCACACAGCAGAGAGATGGGCGAACAGCCCTTTCCACTTCCACTGATGGTTATGATATTTGTGCCTTCCACTGCAGTCATACAGCAGGGGCTCAGCACAGCGTAAAACGAGATCCAAAGCACAAAAAAATGGGAACGCAGCAAAAACGATCGCTTGGCCACCACGTCTGCAGCTCAGCAGTCCTGAACCTCCAGCCATTCCAATGGAGGCAGCACAAGAAAACCCCACTCTTGTTTAACCTGGGGGGGGAGGTGGAAATCAGGCACGCAGTTCTGCACGGAACCAGAGACTTTTGCAAAAGCCATAAGTGAACGCTGTGGGAGTTCACCCCCTGAAATACGAACTGGCGGCCGCACCAGATGGCCCGCCTGCTTTTCCAGCTCCTCGGAGCTGCGTTTTGCCCTGGGCTGTGTGAGCAATGCTGAGCTCTGGCCCTCGGTTCAAAGCCTTGCTGACTACAGCGGGGAGGAATTCCTGCTCCGTGCAATAAACTCTTCTGCTCTCGAGCGCGTGTTCTGGTACACAGCACGGCGCTGAGCCCACGTCTGCACACGGGGCTTTAATAACGAGCAAGAGGATTCAGGCAAGGTTTGAGAGCCTGGAGGAAGGGCTGCGGTGCAAGGAACAAGGCATGGAGCAGCAGGAGCCTGACTGCATCGGCACAATGCGGGGAAACGCCAAACCTGAACAGCAAAGAAAATACTGGCTAGGAAACTATGTTTTGGAAAGCCTTGGAGATGAGTCACGGAGGTGGTTTTGGTAAGATAGGAGCGCGCTGCAGGATTAAGTGTGAGCATGACAACGTTCCTGTGCATCGCACGCCATTACCCCACAATTACCAGGTCTTAAGAGCTCCGCTCCCACATGGCCCTGGGTTAGCATGCTGGCTTCCAAAGACACAAAATAACGAACTGTTAGTGGAAAAAGGTATTAATTTCAGCACACGTGGAAGAGACAAAACTGCTTAAAGCGCTTTAACTGATGCTCCCTCAGCAACAGCTGGTTGAAAGCTCAGGATGGCTGCTTTGCTCGGCTCCCTTTCGGCTCTGCAACACAGAACTGGAGTTCTATAGGTGGGCACAGTGCAGCACGGACCTGTCCATAGCACACCCCTGACCCTGCAGGGAATTGCTTGAGCTGAAGTTTCCCATGGAAGCTCTGCATTTGCACAGGTTCGAAAGCCAGATGAAAGCCAAAAAGATACTGGAGGTTGGGTTTTGCAGCTTCCAGTCCCTTCTTGTAATAGCACCTTCCACCAGCAACGGGAAATTGGCTCTTTCAGAAAAGAAACCAAGGACATACCCTCGTGGTTTCCAACAGCTCTGAGTTAACTTTCATTTCACCCCCAGGAACAGATCCTGACCCCACGCAATGCACAGCAGTAACTTTGGGGCCTCTTATGTAAACCAAAACGGACAGCGTTATGTAAAGGAAACTGGAAACAAAAAGCCACCCCCATCTAGTGAAAGGAAAACAACTTCAGTTCCGTGAACCACAGAGAAAGACCACAAAAGCAGAAGTG